CTCTGCTGGACATGGCCTTCTGGAAAGAGAATCAGCGTTTCGGTGGCTAACTCCGGCTTGGTGCTCAATCTTGAAATCGTATTCTTGGAGTCGTTCGATCCATCTGGCTATCTGACCCTCTGGATTCTTAAACTGCATCAACCACTTAAGGGCGGCATGGTCGGTTCGGATTAAAAACTTCCTTCCATAAAGGTATTGATAGAAGTTCTCTACTGATTTCACTACTGCCAGAAGTTCTCTTCTCGTGACGCAATAATTCCGCTCAGGTTTTGAGTGAACTTTACTAAAATATCCAAGGACTCTTTCCTGTCCTCCTTGAATCTGAGACAGCACTCCTCCAATTCCCACATTACTTGCATCTGTATCTAAGATGAACTCTCCTTCTGTCAGTGGATACCCTAAAATTGGTGCTGTGATTAATTGCTTTTTTAAGGTCTCAAAGGCATTTTGGCAGTCTGTATCCCAGCGGTATTCTCTTGCTTCCTCTGTAAGTCGCGTTAATTGTTTAGCGATATCTGCAAACTTCTTAATAAACCTCCGGTAATAAGTACATAGTCCAAGAAAGCTTCTCACTTGATGTTTGTCAGTTGGTTTTGGCCATTCCTTAATGGAATCAACTTTTTGCCTTATCCACGGCCACTCCTTCTTTACTGACTATATGACCCAGATAATTGACTTTACCTTGAAATAACTGGCACTTTTTGGGGTTTAGCATCAATTGGGCAGCTTTAAGTCGATTAAAAACGTTTTCTAAATTCCTCAAATGATCTTCAAATGTCTCCCCCAAGACGATTATATCATCTAGATAAACTAGGCATGTTTAGTCTAGGCATAAGCCTCTCAAATGTCGCAGTAGCATTACAGAGTCCAAATGGCATAACGTTGAATTGCCATAATCCCGATCCTGTGGTGAAGGCTGTCTTTTCTTTATCTACCGGGTCCATTTCTACCTGCCAGTATCCAGACTTCAAATCCAAAGTAGAAAATAATTTACTTCCAGCCAATGTGTCCAATGTGTCATCGATCCGAGGCAGAGGATAACTATCTTTCTTAGTAACGTTGTTCAGCAAACGGTAACCCACACAGAACCTCGTTGTTCCGTCTTTCTTCTTAACCAAGACCACCGGAGAGACCCATGGGCTTGTAGAAGGTTCTATTACCTCGACTTTCTTCGTTTCCTGAACAATCGTTTCAGCTTCCTCTATTTTCGCCTGTGGTAATCGTCGAGCTGTTTGACGAATTGGCTTAGCATTACCAGTATCAATTTTATGCTTAACAACGGTAGTTCTTCCCGTCTTCATAATATATTTACAATTGTAAACGCCATAATTATCGTAACAATAGGACAATTGGTCTCTAACTTAAAAGACAATTTAAATTTTTGTTGGGTTTGGAGATTAAACAAGCTGTTTTGCGATTTTCATTTTGTAGAATATATTTTCCCTCCGTAAGACCTAAACTGAAAAAACTGAGCAAGAAATTGATTGTTTACTCTGAAAGATGTTGCAACATAGAAAATATTATACTGTCCTTCCTTCAGATAAAGCCGATAAATGCTCATTTAAAGAAAAGGGTTCACACTCCATAGATTATATTTTACCGGGTAAGATGTAATGTTCTCAAAAACAGGTGTAGTCAATAAGATAAGCATTTCCTCACCAATGAAGCTTTATTAAAAGCCTTATGGAAATTTCTCACTTTCCTCCAGATTACTAATATTAGGGTATCAGGGGAAATTGTTTAACAAAACTTTTTTTTCTTTTTTAATTTAGGTTCCTTTTTACAATGTGCCAATGTAAAAAATTACAAGTTTTTTATTTAATAACATTCTCTAAAAAGGGTTTCTGTTTGAACTTTCTAACCGCCTCCCTCTTTGATTTAATCAAAGCAGAAAACTTTTGTTCGCACCAACATACTTGACATTTAAAAAATCTAATACACTTTTTCTTAGGGAACCCATTTACTGCATCTAATATTAGGTTCTGAAAATCTGTATACGAGTCATAAGATATATTGTGAGTGTTGGACTCAATGCATAGATTAAATTGCTTCCAATTGGCTTTTTTCACATTAAGGATCCTAAGGCCTAAAAGTGGATCATTTATTTAACTTCCCAAAGACAGACCGCAGACCACAGAGATGCTATCGCCACGTCAGGAACACTGTTACAGTCAGGAGGCGAGATTCTATCGCCTCTCTTGTGTTGAGAAATCATAAGTTATCTTCCTCCAAAAGATCAGCAAGAAGTTTACCATTGGAATTGTAAGGTAATCATCCCCATGAATAATGTTGGCAATTCAAGTAACCTATGAAGAAGGACGGTTTATCATACATTTAAACCAATTCTGCAAGGCTGCGCAGCCATGACATTCTACGCCTCCCTATGCTTCTCTTTTCTTGGATCTTTCTCTGCATAATCAGTTGGAGCAATGTGTATTTCTCTCCACGTGTAATATGTCCGAGATATTCTAATTGTCTTGTTTTTACTGTATTTAAAATTTCCATTTCTTTATTCATCCTTTTCAGAACCTCTTTGTTTGTGACGTGTTCTGTCCACGATACTTTCAGTATTCTTCTGTACAACCATAGCTCGAATGATCCAAGTTTTTTTATTGATGTCGCATTCAAGGTCCAAGATTTCATTCCATAAAATAAAGCCAAAAAAACATAGCACCTCGCCAACCTGACTCTTAGTTCCAGTTTTAAATCCCTGGTACATAGCACTCTTCTCATTTTGTTGAAATTTGCTCTAGCCTTTTCTATTCTTATTTTGATTTCCTAATTGTAATCATTTGTGGAGGTAATCATTGTTCTCAGATATGCATATTTGTCCACTTGTTCGACGTTGGTTCCGTTTATTAGAAGATTCTCGCTATTTCTGTAAGTTTTCGATATTCTCATAAATTTCGTCTTCTTGACATTCATTGTTAGACCATACTCTTTTCCATACTCTGCTATTCTAGTCACCAGTCTCTGAAGAATGAGAACTCCATCTACCTTTATTCCAGCTGTTTCACCCTCAAGAGCTTTTTTCAGGATCTCTTCGGAGTAGGCATTAAAAAGAATTGGCGACAATATGCATCCCTGTCTCACTCCACATCTAATTTCAATTTCTTCTGACAGCTGTTCGTTAACACATACTTTTGCTCGCTGTTTATAGTATAAATTTGATATGATCCTGAGGTCGTTGTAGTCAACTTTCTTTGATTTCAGGACATTCAATAATTGTTTATATCGTACTTTATCGAATGCTTTATTATAGTCAATAAAACATGCGTATATATCTTGATTGACGTCCAGGCATCTTTGTAACAGTATATTAAGTGAAAAACGAGCTTCACGCGTTCCTAGGCCTTTGCGAAAACAAAAGGATGCGATGTTTTTAATACTGGAGGATAAATTATTCACTTTTGCTAATATAATCTGATCGTGTTGAAATTATTTTTCAGTTCAAAAAGTTGTTTTTTTAATTTGACTAATATTTTATTTATATCTAGGAGCTAACATATGTCTAAAGTTTAAAAAATTTTGAGAATCCATTAAAAGCAAAGCAAGAATCTCGCTTCTTTGTCAAGTGACCGGGATTATTTACATACATGTCCTACTAATCTACTGCTACTATGTAATTTAGTGAAATAGTAAAGTCTGTAGAATTTCGTACTCGCAGCTTTATTGTTCAGAAACTAAATAACGGTATTTTAGTTTTAAATACTTGATTTAAAATACTATTAACTCCATGACTAACCCCCTCTGTGATCATGTATCCATGAATGAAAATAATTTCTATCCTTGTGCGATCGGTACTCACCGGAGGGACCGCCACACACACACACACACACACACACACACACACACACACACACACACAGCGCACTCGCACTACAATAGGTACCTGACTGTACTATGCCAATGATCTTAGTTGTCGAGGCATTAACTCAATAATAAAAAAATAACTCTTCATGACTTCGAAATAAAAAAAATGAGTTTGACACTCGGGGAGTGCTGACAGAAGTGAATACTTCTTATAGCTTATTATTGCTATATGTAAGTTAATGAAATTTAATGTCGACTTATTACTAAATTAATAATATTTTATATTTAAGTATCAACACTACACATTTAAGTTTTTTAACGCATATGTATATCTTCTTAGTATGATATACTAAGAAGTTGAACATAGCAGGCAATATCGTTTAACTTGCACAATATCCAAGTAGATATGCTAAATTTCAAGCCACAACTATGTATAAAAGAACATAATTAATTTCGTTTATAAACTCAATTGGAAAAAATTGGAAAAATTGGAATTGGATGTTTTTTCCAATTTTAAACATTAACCGATATTTAGAAAGTTAAACGATATTACCTGCTATTTTCAACTTCTTCTTAGAATATTATACGCGGAAGATATACATATACATTAAAAAAACTTAAAATATGTAGTGTTAATACTTAAATAAAAAATATTAATAATTTAGTAATACACAGACAGATTTTTCCACAAGGAAAAATATTTTGAAAATGAGGTCCAGGAAAAAGAACATCTTGCTTAAAGAACCTCAGTTCAATTCATACAATACTATAAATTTCTGCAACTTTTTCTTCTGTATTTTCGATTTTTTGTGCCTGTGTACTAGGTGCAACCATGCAGCCGCGGATTTAGAAAATTTATAGGTTCAGAGCTATTTGTGGGTACCATATGGTGAAAAGTCATCATTACGTACGTTTAATTTCTTTTATGATACCGTTATATCCTTCTCTGACCAGTACATTATTTAAGGTATCTGACAATAAATCATATCCCATTGGAGCGTTTCCTCTTATAAGCAAATACAATGGAGAGAGGTCAAGCAGGTATAAGTAGATATCTACCCTTAGAGACCCTGTAATTCTAAGGCACACAACTCTTTGCACTTTGAACAAGTATATTTTAGTCCTATTTAGTTGCAAATTTAAAAGATTTAATAAGTTTGAATTACAACATAACAATATTGTTTTAGGTTGGGGGTTTACAAGCTAAGGATCAACTATTTGCTGAAGCTACCCAGGAACCCGGTTTAGCTTTCCTTGTGGGAAAATTCGATGGTATTTTAGGAATGGGGTACCCTGAAATTTCCGTTAATGGAATTACTCCAGTATTTAATACACTGGTTGAACAAGGTGCTATTAAAGAACCGGTTTTCTCCTTTTATTTGAACAGGTTTGTAATATGTTAATTTTTTATTTAAATTTTAATATTTGTATATTTAGGTTTTCATCGAAAACAAGCGTTTTCGTGTTCAGAAAGATTTCCGCAGTTAGTACAATGAAACCTAGAGCTAAGATTAATACTATTACAAAAATTAATATTAAACTCACCGGTCTTCCGGGTTGAACCGCGTCGATATCCATTTTGCCGAGCTTTCGACATCATCTCTGATATCTTCCTCAGGGCTTCCGAGGTCTCTGTCTCATGATCAGTGAACAGTGTAGTAGTGTCTGGGGGCTCTGGAGACTGAGACCTCGGAAGCCCTGAGGAAGACATCAGAGAGGATGTCGAAAGCTCGGCAAAATGGATATCGACGCGGAGTTAGTGAAGGCGGAAGACTAGTGAGTTTAATATTAATTTTTGTAATAGTATTAATCTTAGCTTTGGGTTTCATATATATATATATATATATATATATATATATATATATAATATATATATATATATATATATATATATATGTATATATATGTATATATATGTATATATATATGTATATAAATATATAAATATATATATATATATATATATATATATATATATATATATATATATATATATATATATATCACCGTAACGCTATCAAAAGAATCGCAGCATATCCAGGTGCTGATATCGCATCCGATCATAATCCGCTAATAGCAGATGTGAGGTTAAAACTAGCAAAAATTAAGAGAACAAATACAAATACCAGCACACCTATAAATACAAGAGAACTGATGAGAGACGAAAATCTGAAGAAGAGTTATGCGAATCAAATTAATGAAAGAATGCGAGTAATAGAACAAAATGATGATATCGAAGAGATGGTAATATCATTGATGATATCAATGATATTAAAGGAACGATTCTGGCAGTAAACAGGGAAGTTAAAACACAGATCAGAAAGAGAAAGCATAACGAATGGATGACGGACGAAATTATGGATCTAATGGAAAAGCGAAGGCAACATAAACAACAACGTAATCAAGACAAATACAAACAGATACACAAAGAAATCCGTCAGAAAATTAAGAAAGCAAAAGAACGTTGGATGGTTGGAAGGTGCAACGAAATAGAACAATTGCAGGAAAAAGGAGATAGTTTTGGACTACATAAGAAGATCAAAGAAATATCGAATATACACAAAAGCCACCTCAGAACAAGAATACGCAACGACAGAAACGAATACATAGAGTCAGAAGAGGAGATAGCAATGGCGTGGAAAGAATACGCAGAAAGCCTTTGTAATGACGAAAGACCAACACAACCAACGCGCAAACTTCCTTCCGAAAACTTATCACGGCCATCAATAATGCGAAGTGAAATAGAATATGCAGTTAGAACCACAAAGATGCATAAAGCAACAGGTCCAGATGAAATTAATATAGAAGCAATAAAACTACTAGACGAGGAGAATATCGAAATCTTGGTAAGGCTGTTCAATAGAATTTATGATACTGGTTACATTCCGCGAGAATGGCTGCAGTCATCCTTTGTGATGATCCCAAAAACAGCTAATGCCACAAAATGCAATGAACACCGCTTAATCAGTTTAATGAGTCACTTGTTGAAACTCTTCCTTAGGATATTGCACTCAAGAATGTACAAGATACTAGAAGAACTTAGCGGGTCAACACAATTCGGTTTTAAGGGAGGACTAGGAATAAGAGAGGCAATTTTATGTTTGAACACCTTAATACAAGACTGCTTAGATCAACGAAAAGATGTCTACCTCAGCTTCATCGACTACGAGAAGGCATTTGACAATGTTAAACATGATATCATGATGGAACTACTACATAGGGCCTACATTGACAAGAAGGAGATCAGAATTATTCAGAATCTATACTGGAACCAAATGGCAAAGGTGAGGATTGATCAAGACCAATATACGGATGAATTTGAAATCCGGAAAGGTGTCCGCCAAGGCTGCATACTCTCTCCGATGCTTTTTAATTTATATTAGGCAATTAAGGTGAACGGCATACCAATTAGCAACCTACGCTATGCGGACGACACAGTGATTATAACTGATAATTTGGAAGATCAGCAGTTATTACTTGATAGGGTGAATAGCATAGGTAAAAAATATGGCCTCAAAATCAACATTTTGAAAACGAAATATATGGTCATTAGCAGAAAACCTCCAGAAAACCCGATAATATGCATAGGTGACAATCGTATAAATCGCGTGAAAACTTTTAAATACCTTGGCACCACAATCAATGACCAATCGGATCCACAACACGAGATAAAAACCCGAATACAAATGGCAAGACAAGCTTTTGTGAAATTCAGACCACTCCTATGTAATCAACACCTAAACTTCGAAATACGCTACAGAATGGTCAAGTGCTACATATGGTCCATCTTGCTTTATGGCATGGAAACGTGGACTTTGAAAAAAACATCTATCAACAAACTTGAAGCATTTGAAATGTGGTCATTGAGAAGAATGATGCGCATACCTTGAGGTGGATAGAGTTCGAAACGATGACGTCCTTAATAGAGCCAGCGTGGAAAGAGAACTCTTTGAATGAATTAAAAAACGCAAGATTGGTTACCTTGGGCACATATTGAGAGGAGCAAAATATGAAATACCACAGTTAATCCTACAAGGGAAGATCAAAGGTAGGAGAGGAGCCGGCCGCAAACAATTATCCTGGTTAAGGAATATTAAAGAATGGACAGGAATACACAATACAGGTGAGCTGTGTCACGCCGCCAAGAACAGAATTCTAGTAATGAGATAGTCGCCTACGCACTTTGGTGTATGGCATGTTAAGAAAAAGATATATCATCATGTGCAGCTTTATCAACCGTTTCCAATTACGGTGCAGCCTTCCTTATTTCAATGTTATTCTATGTTCTTATTATTATTCGACGATGTCTTAGTTATTTGTTGTTCTTATAATTTGCGCTCATTTGCGCTCATTTGAGCCCATATTTTTCTATCTTGTGCTATTCGAAACCACGTTGTTCCTGTTAATTTTCTTATATCACAATCCCATCTGAGATTCGGGCGCCTCTTTGGTCTCTTAGCGTTCCTGGGGTACCACATAGTTGTTCTAGTGGTCCATCTGTTGTCTGTTCTTCTTGCTATATGTTCTGCCCATTGCCATTTCAGGGATTTTATTCTTTGGATTACATCAGTCACCTGGGTTTTCCTCCGTATCCATTCAATTCTTTTACGATCCCTCTTTGTTATCCCTAGCATACATCTTTCCATTGCTCTTTGAGTTACTTAGAGTTTCGACATTATTTCTCTCTTTAATATCCAAGTTTCACATCCATATGTCAAGAAGGGTAATATGTATTGATCAAATACTCTCTTCTTGAGGTATAGTGGCATTTTGGACTTGAAGACTATGGAATTTCGTCCGAATGCTGACCACGCTTGTTTTATTCGTCTGTTGATTTCCGGAAGTAGTGATCCCGATTTATGTATGAGCTGCCCCAGGTATATGTATTCGTCCACTACTTCTAGCGATGTATCATTAATTTTTATTTCCACGCTGGCGATCAGATCATTGCACATTATTTTAGTCCTTGCTAGGTTCATTTTTAGGCCTACCTCATTGCTAGCTGTATTAAGGTCATTAATTTGTAGTTGTAATTCTTCCGGACTTCTAGCAATTATAATGATGTCATCAACGAATCTAAGATTGTTTAGGTATTCTCCATCTATACATAGACCTTGGTTGTTCCAGTCTAATTTCCGGAAGATATTTTCTAAAGGTTGCAGTGAAGAGCTTAGGGGATATGGTGTCTCCTTGTCGGCCTCCTTTCTGAGTGGGAAATTGTGGGGTATTTTCATATATGCTTACTCTAGCCTATATATTTGCTACCGTTTCGACATATGGTTTATCTACTCCTTGGTCGGTAAGAGCTTCTATGACTGCTCTTGGGTATATGGAGTCAAATGCCTTCTCGAAGTCTATGAATGTTAGCGCCAGTGGTAGATCATATTCTTTTGTTCTGCTCATTACTTCTCTTAATGTTTGAATATGATTGTTTATCTTTAGAAGTTCGGCTGTAACACCGTCATTACCGGCTGCCTTGCCGTTCTTCATGCTCTTAAGAGCTGCCTCTACCTCATCCACGAGAACATCTGGTACATTCTTGAACCGCAATTTCTTCTTCGCCTATTTCTTGTACTTCCGGAGCTTCATATAGACCCTCGTAGAATTCGGTTACATGTTCTATTATTTCATCCCTATTTGTGATCCTTTCGTTGTTGTTTCCCAATGCTATTATTTGCTTTCTACCGATTGCCAACTTACTCTTGGTTTTCCTATAGCTTTTACGGTTCTTGATTGTATTTTGTACAAGTCGTTCATTGTAGGTTTTTATATCTTCTGCGATCTTTTTCCGTATTGCTTTGTACAGTTCGGAATATTCAATTCTAATAATATTGCAGTTGATTTTCATTTCTCTTCGTTGTTTCAGGAGAGCTGTTGTTTCATCTGAAAGTTTTCTATTGCTGTTGTGTGCTTGTGATCCTCCAACTTCTTTGGCGCAATTTAAGATTGTTTTCATTAAGTGTGTGGTATTCGTTGGGTCTTGTTATTTTTCTTGAATTAAATTTTGATAGAGTTCCGAGTTGTTGCTTAGGTTAGTGATATTTACCCTGCAGTTGGTGTTTGGAGTAATTTCATTCTTTCTAGTTTAGTGTTTGGAACGACCCGAGATCTAATTAGTCTGAGATCACTACATGTTCGGAATTTGTTGAGCACACTTTACATCCTTTATGGTTTTCAGCTTATTAGTTAGGATGAAATCTATTTCGTTCTTGGTAGTTGCATTGGGAGCCACCTATGTCCATTTCCTATTGAGGTTCTTTTTGAAATAGGTATTGTCGATTGAGAGGTTCTGGTAATGTGCGTATTGAACCAGTCTCTCTCCCCTTTCATTTCTTTCTCCAATGCCAAAGTTGCCGACACATTGTTCTTGATTTGATTGTTTACCGA